GACACTGCACCTTTTTGATATTTTCCTTCCCTTTGGATCTCTGGATCTTTACTTTTGCTTTAACTTCCACACAACCAGTCACACCTCTATTCCTCAAAAGCAGTCTGTATCAATTACATCATCAATTACATCAGCTTGATCTCTAATGACCGTGTCCATGGCGAGGTCAAAGGTCAGGGAGGTCAGGGGTGGGGGTGTGTGTGCATCTCGTCCATTGCCCACGGCTAGAGAGAGAGAGTCTGTTTTCTCATCCTGTCAGACTGAGGAAGCCTGCTAGGTATTAGTCTGGAGAATCAGCTGACGGGACAGAAATAGTACCCACCCCCTTCTCCTCTTCCTCCTCCTCACACACACGCACACACGCACGCACACACGCACACACACACACACACACACACAAAGATGCTTACACACACACACATATATACACACACACACAATCACACACACCACCCCATTCTTCCGGCAATGTATTCATAGCAGCGCTAATTAACAACTCCTCGCCATGGATAAATGGCGAGCGAGAGAGAGACAGAAGGAGAGAGAGAGAGAGAGAGAGAGGGAGAGACAGAAAGAGAGAGAGAGAGGGAGAGACAGAAGGAGAGAGGGACTCCTTCGACATGGAGAACTGAATAAAGAAGGCCCCAGGCGCAAACACAGCCATGTGCATGCTTGTGTGTGTGTGTATGTGTGTGTGTATGTATGTATGTGTGTGTGTGTGTGTGTGTATGTAAATGTAAATGTATGTGTGTGTCAGGGCTATGCTACATCTGGACTGTAGGTCCTCCTCTATGGCTAGGCTGCTGGAGATGAGATTCCACTTTCATTGACCTAGACAGAGGCCAGCCAGCCAGTCCACTACAGTTAGCTGCCTCTAATAATCCACTATGACAGCCTCTGTCTAATAGCAGTGTGTGTGTGTGTGTGTGTGTGTGTGTGTGTGTGTGTGTGTGTGTAGTAGCTCCCTTGTGCCATCTCCAAGGCTGGCATAATGGGGGCAACAGCAATGCTTCCTGCACTCAGCATCCCTCCCAGGAGAGACAGGCATGTGACATGTGATGAGTTTGACTCCAGGATAGGAAGATCATTCCTGGATAGGATGTACAGGCCATGAACGATCAATGCAGTAACCTTTTCCCCTTTGGATGGATGTTTGGAATGCTGTAATAATGTATTTCTCTCTGGAGGGTTCAACAAGAGGGAGTTCAAAAGGAAGGAAGTTGGCTGGTTTAGTCATCAATAGCAAACTAAAAACTATGTAGACTGAATAGTCAATTGAACGTTTTTGAAGGTGAGCCTAGAGAAAAAGAGATGGTTGGAGTTGTGTGTGAGAGAGAGAGAGAGAGAGAGAGAGAGAGAGAGAGAGAGAGAGAGAGAGAGATTATAGATATAGATTATAGATATAGATAGATTATAGATATAGATAGATATTAGTTTAGACACCAGGGGGTAGCGGTGAAGACAGGAAGTCTGTGCCAGCACTTAGAGGACCACAGTGTGTATGTGTCTGTCCCCGGTGTGCCATATGCTGCCCACCCAGAATGCTCTGGGCCAGAGGGACCCCCAGCCAACCCAAGAACCGTATCAGGCTACAAGGGGCTGCTTCCCAATTCCACACCCTTTTCCAGAAATGTGAACTTGCATACTCTCCGTAATGGATGTAAAAGCATATGATTGGCTGGAGGGAGTTTCACCATTGTTAAGTGAAGTCCATGTGACAAAGTGTGCAAGTTCACGCTTCCAGATAAGGTTGGATAATTGGGATGCAGCCATTGTTTCTGAAGCAATGTGCAAGCACATTCCTGTCCTCTATTCCCCCCATCACGGCGACCATATTGCACGGCCCCTCTCCTGGCCTGCTCACCATGTCTCCTTGTCCTCCTTTCCCTTGGCCAGGCTGACTCTACTGTGTGTTCATGGGTGAGTCTGCTCTCCACCATGGAGAGACGTGTCATCGACAGCATGCCTGGCGTTCACAGCTGTTCACAAATACTGCTTTCTGTGTAACTTCACTCCTTCACTGAATGCCTACCATGTGCTCCAGTTTATGCTTCAGAAACAATTTCATTTATTTATGGTTCGTACTCAAATAGTAGTTTTCTTTAATTAATTCAGTGCTTCAGGGGACCATGCATGCACATTGCTTTCCAAACAGAGTCTGGGTGGTGTGGTTTGGAATTGTCAAGTCAATTCACATTTTGATATAACTTCAGTGTTTATTATGTAATGTTCATTTCCCCCTGACAGATAAAAGTAAATCTGTTTTTTCCCTAAATTGACCCGGACGCTAACCCCTGCCTTTTAGAGAAAGATCAATCCCCTAGTCAGATAAAGCCTAGTTGGATGTACTGTCCTCTGTAAGAACACTAACAGCTGGTTCCCTGACACACCCTGACACCAGGGTGTTGACGCGGCAGTGTTTCCATGACTACAGGCCATGCACTCTCTGTTTTTGACAACTGTTCCCATGGCGCCGGTTGTTGACTCAAGCGCTGGACTTCGATTGGTCTGACAGATTCCACTCAAGGGTCAGAGGTCATTCAGTGCCACTGCCGACCAATGACATCGCTCACTTCGCTTTACTTCCTAGTTTGTCATGTAGATAGAGAGCATCGTTGACTTGAGCATCACCAACTGTACATATGTCTCAATGTGAAATGATGACAACAATGGATCATATTTCATATATCACAGATGCTGATTGATTTGAGGATTTCAATGAGTTTCGATTCCATTGATGCTTTGATGTAGAGCCTCAAGGTTATAATATGTTGAGAACAACCTTCAAACAGTCCTTCACACAGCTTTTGAACTTAAAAATAGCTTGGTACATTACGAAATGTACAAAGCAAACTGTTCTGAAACACATGAATGTGTAGTTTCTCATATCATTCAAACTTGATGACCTTTAAATCCTTAACTTTGAAGAGTGACTTTGTAGTGGTCATAGCAGCCTTATGTAGCATCAACATCACCTTGAAGGTGGTCATAACAGCCTTATGTAGCATCAACATCACCTTGAAGGTGGTCATAGCAGTCTTATGTAGCAGCAACATCACCTTGAAGGTGGTCATAGCAGCCTTAGGTAGATGTTCACGTCATGGCATAATCTCTGTGGTATCACCTGGCCAACCTTTGTGTGTATTGTCACCTCTCTGGCCTATATCCAGTCTTGGGTAACGTCATTGTCACCTTGACATTCACGTCATGGCTTAATCTCGATGTGTGATGTCACCTGGCAAGCCAAGAACGTCCCAAGTCATTTCCCTGTTCCAGCTCCCCTGGGCCGCAGTCTGCTGTATGTCTGCTAGGCATGAGGACTGTAGACAGGGAGGCGTAGCATTAACTATACTTACCTGCTACTTCTACGGTCTTTCAGGAGACTTTCTGAAGTCTTTCTGGGGACTTTCAGTGTCATTCTTTGGACCTATGAAGAGGCTTTATGTGTGATATGTAAAGAGTTGTTTTGGAGTTTTCTGAAGAGTCTTCCTGTGGATGAATAAGGGATCTTTCCAGAAACTTCTATTCAGTCATTTTGAAGCCATTTTGAGAAAAGCTAAATAGCCATTTTGGGGGTATGAAAAGTCTTATCTAAATAGTCTTTCTGGCGACTTATAACGCTTCCTTTCTTGGATGCTATGAGCAGAACATGGTGGAAGACCGTTAAATGTTCAACGATTTCTACGACCCAGTTTTGTTGACGTCTGTTACACACTCTGAGGTCATTGACTATACACAAACAAGGACATGGCTGTATTCCACAAAAACAGGTGACTTGTCTTATTCACTCGTATATTCATAATATGACATATTATCATAAGATTGCAATATTATTGTGATATGTCAGTCTCAGTTGGGTAAACACTCTCAATTATGTAAACGTCTCAGTTAGCATTCATTTGGTTTGGAAAAAGTCCGGATTTTGTTATCTGAAGAGGGCAGGCACCTGGAATACAGTAAATCGAGTCATGTACTGGCATATTCCCTCCAGAAAATTGTTATGGTGTTTTGGGGTACATCCTGTCTGCCCTTGTCAGTCAGAAATTAATTATGCCAGGTGTCAGGGAAGTCTTTAATGGCTTAGACTAGACAGACACCTTTGTCCTCTGGCTTTACTGAGGACAGGTCAGGACCAGTCTCATTAGTGTTACTGTCAATTAAGTTATCAGGTCTCTCTCTCTCACACACACATGCGCACATGACACACACGCACGCAGGCAGGCACACACAAACACACAAACACAAACACACACCAATTAAATAGACTGGCTGGGTCCCGTAAATGAGCGAACTCATGTGCTAATGTCCTTTGACAATACTTTTGGGAGGGAAATGTGGGAAGGGTTTTCAGTTTTCACACGGACTGATTTGCAATTCTGAAATGCGTTATTTTGGTTCCTGGGAAAGCAGAGGCCGAGAGGGGGGGAAAGAGTGAGGAGTCTCGAGTTTGAGTTTTTTATGGTGTGATTTATTCACAGATGGATAGACACCTTTCATCTGGTGTTTTAATTGGTTCCCGACTGTTTCCCTGCAAACTTAAGTCATATAGTCATCCACACTTTCAGAACATGTTATTGAAACGACACTTTCAGAACATGTTATTGAAACGAGTGGTTGTTGATAGCTAGCATAACTAAATCTAACGTATTCACCATCATTATTATCTGCCCAGCTGTGAAAAACTTTTATGTGCATAAGGTCATTGCATATTTCCATTTGAGCTGTGACAACTTGATTACTTTTTCTCCCTTTTTGTCTCCCTAATATAATTTCACATTTCTCTCTCCATGTCTTTTACTCTCTCTCTCTCTCTCTCTCTCTCTCTCTCTCTCTCTGTCTCTCTCTCTCTCTCTCTCTCTCTCTCTCTCTCTCTCTCTCTCTCTCTCTCTCTCTCTCTCTCTCTCTCTCTCTCTCTCTCTCAATAAAAACATAATAAACATATGAATAACTTCTCTCCTCCTCTCTCTCCTCCCCCTCCCTCCCTCCCTCCCTCTCTCAGGACGCTGCACCAGCAGTTTGAAAGTTATAAGGAGCAGGTGCGTCGCATCGGCGTGGAGACGCGGCGCCAGCAGCAGGGCCAGCACAAGGACGACGCCCCCACCTGCGGCATCTGCCGCAAGACCAAGTTCGCCGATGGCTGCGGACACCACTGCTCCTACTGCCAGACCAAATTCTGTGCCCGCTGCGGCGGACGCGTCTCCCTGCGCTCCAACAACGTGAGAAACCATTAAAACTCCCTGCCTCCACCTCTTCTCCTTCCTCCACCCCTTCCTCCATCTTCATTACCCCCCCCTCATCCCTTCCCTTCGTTCATTTGTTTTGTCAAGATGGCTGCTTTTATGTTGTCTGTGTTGGCGGCTGGGGCTCTGTCACACTTTGGTTGGTCAAAGTGTATTGGAGTTGTTGTTGGAGCTTCAATCCATCCTCAGGTGTGTCACAGTTTAGCAAAATAGCGACCCTGTAAAAGTAACCCTAGTAGTACCTAACATGTAGTGCTTTATACAGAATGGACAAAGCTGCCGACCAGAATCACCATTCAGCATTTACAGTATCGGCACATACACTGCAGTTCCGCTCAATATCCCTGTAAATAAGACAGTCACACTCCCTAGAGCCAGAACCTTGTGAATGAAACAGCTTTGATTCTAGTTTACATAGTAATTCTAGTTCCCCAGTGCCAGAGGAAGCGTGCAGTATGACATGCGGTGGCTTCCATACTCACCACATGTGGGCGTTATTTTAAGCCCAAGTCCCGCTCCACCCCATGCCATCTGGGCCCCTCTCCATCTCCTGTCCAGCCCAAGAGAGAGGCCCCCTCCTGGGTATCTTACCTGACTGTGGGCCCTTGTCCCTGGGCCTGCTGGGCACCAATCTGTCCCAGATCCGCTAGGCCCAGCTGGAACCCAGACTCACACAGGGAGCAGACCTGGACACAGGATCAAGCTTTGGCCCAGGCTGTGGACTTATTATGGGATAATTCCATGAAATTAATAATTGCATTTAATGTGGATTATGGATAATGATTACCGACCACTAGTAGTGCTGACTCTATTAGAAATGCCATCAATATGGAACTAATACTATAGTGAAAAAATCGGGCTACGAACTCAAATCAATAGTAAAGTATGCCCGGAATTAGTTTGAGCATTATTGCAGTTTATTTCAAAGGTATTTTGAAGTAACGTCTCTCACTGGGCAGAGAAAAGTCAGAATTAGTTAGGATTTCTGTGTAGGTTTGAGTCAGTATTAGTGTGTGTGTGTCTGTGTATCAGTGTGTGAGTCAGTTTTTATGGTGTATTTATGGGTATTTTTGTGTAGGCTGTACTCTATTATGTGTGTAAGGGTAATTTTGTGTAGGCTGTAGTCTTATGTGTGTAAGGGTAATTTTGTGTAGGCTGTAGTCTTATGTGTGTATTACAACTTATGTGTGTAGACAGTGTAGACTGGAGAGATGTGTTCTGACCGGCACTCTCTCAAGTGGTACTTCCTTCCTGGATCCCCCATCCTACTCTCCCCTCTCTCCCTCTATCTCCAGTCAAGCAGAATAACAGGATTAGTTGAAATTGTAAACTTTGTTTTATTACATAAAACTCTCCCCCCTATTCATGTTTACCTGTTTAGTACAACACGTCGGTGTACCTCACGTCAAATACAAGCCCACTCTTTGTATGAGCAGCACTTCATGCATCTCTCCAGTGCTGAGTCTATCAAAATATACATTTGTTTGACAGGGCGGATACTAAGCAAGTTTCCTTACATTATTTCAGTTGGTGTAACTCATGTCAAAAAGGGCCACTCTTTGCATTACTTAAAGATGCGCTCTCAAACCTTTGTATAATTTCAGCCAATAGTTTTGAAAGTGGTACTCACGAGCCAAAACGGGTCCCCGTTTTTTGTGTACTACGTCATCCAATTGTGTACTAAGTCATCCAATTGTGTACTACATCATCCATTTCGTGTGATATGTTATGAATCTTGCAATTCGTATGATATCATACGAATTTAGCAATTTATGTGATATGTTACAAATCCAATTCATGCAATATGTTACGAATTTGTTGTGATTAAGATCCCAGAGAGCATTTTTAAGTTAGCGGTAGCTTTAATGTATTTTCCCAGCCCTGCGAGTCAAAATTATATGAATCTATCAAACTATAAATTGGTTCTACAGGACTGATGTTCAGTAAGTTATAAGGAAGATACACTATATATACAAAAGTATGTTGACACCCCTTCAAATTAGTGGATTCTGCTATTTCAGCCACACCCGTTGCTGACAGGTGTATAAAATCGAGCACACAGCCGTGCAATCTCCGTAGACAAACATTGGCTGTAGAATGGCCTTAATTAAGAGCTTATTGACTTTCAATGTGGCACCGTCATAGGATGCCACCTTTCCAACAAGTCAGTTCGTCAAATTTCTGCCCTGCTAGAGCTTCCACGGTCAACTGTAACTTCTGTTATTGTAAAGTGGAAACGTCTAGGAGCAACAACGTCTCAGCCACGAAGTGGTAGGCCACACAAGCTCACAGAATGGGACCACCGAGTACTGGAGCGTGCAGCGCGTCGGTTGCAACACTCACTACCGAGTTCCAAACTGCCTCTGGAAGCAACGTCAGCACAATAACTGTTCCTCGGGAGATTCATGAAATGGATTTCCATGGCCGAGCAGCCACACACAAGCCTAAGATCACTATGTCCAATGCCAAGCGTCGGCTGGAGTGCTGTAAAGCTCGCCGCCATCTGGGTTTGGCGGATGCCAGGAATACGCTACCTGCCCCAATGCATAGTGCAAACTGTAAAGTTTGGTGGAGGAGGAATAATGGTCTGGGGCTTTTTTTCATGGTTAAGGCTCCTTAGTTCCAGTGAAGGGGAATCTTAACACTACAGCATACTAGATGATTCTGTGCTTCCAACTTTGTGGCAACAGTTTGGAGAAGGCCCTTTCCTGTTTCAGCATGACAATGCCCCCGTGCACAAAGCGAGGTCCATACAGAAATGGGTTGTCGAGATCGGTTTGGAAGAACTTGACTGGCCTGCACAGAGCCCTGATCTCAACCCCTTCGAACACCTTTGGAATGAATTGGAACGCCGACTGCGAGCCAGTCCTAATCGCCCAACATTAGTGCCCGACTTCACTAATGCTCTTGTGGCTGAATGGGAGCAAGTCCCTGCAGCAATGTTCCAACATCTAGTGGAAAGCCTTCCCAGAAGAGTGGATGCTGTTATAGCAGCAAAGGTGGGGACCAACTCCATATTAATGCACATGATTTTGGAATGAGATGTTCGACGAGCAGGTGTCCACATACTTTTGGTCATTTAGTGCAGGTGCTGCTTGTGCATTGTAGTTCAAAAACGTTGATATTTGATTCAAAATTGATATTGTCCTGATAAACCGTGATTCACCCTGTGCTGAATAATCACATTCCCAAAATAGACACAGAGACACGATGCAGTACACAGCATTGTCCTGCAGAAGGCATTACAGTTACATTGTGATGCCCGACAAAATCTGTGCCACCCACTCATTTTCGTATCACTAAACCTCTCCCTTCTCCCCAGCCTGTCCTCATAGTCATGCTGTGTTATAAAAGTCACATATCTGTATCTGTAATAGCCTCCAAACAGCAGGTATTGAAAGGAAGTAGACGTACAGTATATATTGTATTATAAACTGGGTGGTTCGAGCCCTGAATGCTGATTGGCTGGCAGCTGGGGTATATCAGACCGTATACCACGGGTATGACAAAACATTTATTTTTACTGCTCTAATTACGTTGGTAATCAGTTTATAATAGCAATAATGCACCGTGGGGGTTTGTGGTATATGGCCAATATTCCACACCTCCTCGTGCATTATTGCTTAATTGTAAGCTAGACAGGAAGTTGTATATAGGATTGTGTAAAATGATGTATCATGTTGCTCTTCTTGTCCCCATTTCCTGTTCCTGCATGACACTGTGACACAAAGGTCATGTGTCATGCCAACGTCACATGACTGATATGTCGCGTCACGCACGTTTGCTGTCATACTCGCTCTGTGTTTCACCACTGTTGCACCTCTTACAGGTTGTATCACTGAATAGACTGTGTATTAAAAGTGTGTATTGTGGATTTTGCTCATGTGTATTAACAAACGTTTACACCATTCCCTCACTCCTTTCTTCCTTTTTCCTCTTTCCCTTTTTCTTCCCTCCCTCCTCATGTTTCATGAACCTATCTTTGACCTCTTTCTCTCTTTCTCTGTCCACTCCTCCACTGCATCTCTCTATCCTCCCCTCTGCTTCCTCCACTCCCTCACTTCCTTTTCACTTTCTCACTGCTACCTGGACTGCATGCCACTACAGGAGGACAAAGTGGTTAGCATCTTTTCTGTGCTCTCTACTGTACTGTGAATATAACCTATGTGTCCCCTTGAAAATCCCCCAATGGCTGTTCCAATCCAAAAACCTTGACCCCCTAGCCTCCTGCACTGTAGACTTCCCCTTTTAAGTGGACTGGATTTGTGTGAGGGATATGGCATAAACTACTGTAGTCCTATGCCAAGCCTTTTTGCTGTTGGCAAGGTGGAGGTATATTCCTTTTGTTGCTCAAACCTAGCTCACACAAATCCAAGAAGGGAGAGTCCACAAAGGCTGAAGGGAAGGGAGTAAGTTATCGGATTGGAACGCGGCCAAAGCGTACAAATCCACCTATGGATTAATGACTTAAACCGAACAGAATGATTCCCTGACAGTTCAGTTCATGCTAGCTTTTCTCTAATACTAAAAGGCTAGCCTTTATCCTTGGACTTCCACATGCATACTGTATCTGTCTGTAGTCCAGATTCCAGACTCTGGGCTTTGGCAGATACAGTCATAGGGACCCTTTTGCCTTGAGTAGAAATAAATACAGTTAGATACTATCTCTATCTATCACTATGGTATTTTACCATGGACTTCCCCAAGCATATCTGCCTGTAGTCCAGTCCACACTAATATGGACATTGGTAATGCAGTAC